CTTAAGGGGGTTTAAAATTCAGGGTTACATATATATTTGCTTCTTGAAATTTACGAACACTTACCCCCCGATAAGCAAGACTTAGAACCACCCCACATACGCAGCCTTTAAGGGTTTAAGGGGGTTTAAAATTCAGGGTTACATATATATTTGCTTCTTGAATTTACGAACACTTACCCCCCGATAAGCAAGACTTAGAACCACCCCACATACGCAGCCTTTAAGGGTTTAAGGGGGTTGAAAATTCAGTGTTACATATATTTGCTTCTTGAAACTTACGAACACTTACCCCCCGATAAGCAAGACTTAGAACCACCCCACATACGCAGCCTTTAAGGGTTTAAGGGGGTTTAAAATTCAGTGTTACATATATATTTGCTTCTTGAAACTTACGAACACTTACCCCCCGATAAGCAAGACTTAGAACCACCCATTCAGGGTTACATATATATTTGCTTCTTGAAACTTACGAACACTTACCCCCCGATAAGCAAGACTTAGAACCACCCCACATACGCAGCCTTTAAGGGTTTAAGGGGGTTTGAAATTCAGTGTTACATATATATATTTGCTTCTTGAAACTTACGAACACTTACCCCCCGATAAGCAAGACTTAGAACCACTCCAAAAAAATTAATTACCTAGAGACCACAGGATCTTAAAGATTACGAAAAAAAAGACTACAAAACGATTATAAGACTATTATATGAAGATGGCAAAAGATGATAAAAGATGATAAAGATGATAAAAGATGATAAAAGATGATAAAAGGTGATAAAAGGTGATAAAAAGATGATAAAAAATGATAAAGGATGATAACGATAGAAGATGATTCAGATAAGGATGCTTTCCAAATGAGATCCCGAATTTTGACCCGATTAAAAGATGATAAAAGATGACAAAAAAGATGATAAAGGATGATAAAAAGATGATATGAAGATGATAAGAAAAGCATATGAAGATGATTAAACATGATGGAAGATAATAAAAGAGATAATATGAGAGATGATAAAATATGATAAAAGATGATAAGAAGATGATAGGGTAAAGCAGCTGATTAATGTGTGGAAGCGGTTGAGAACGTGAGGGAGTGAAAAGTGAGCTGGGGGAGTAGGCATGGTGAGGGCGTTTGATGGTGGAGAGGGATGGGGGAGGGTTGGTGAAGAGAAAAACGTTTTTTTTGTTTAAACTCTTTTTTTGGATGGTGAGAGAAAGAGGGGTGGTGGTTGGGGGGGGTGCCCAGCCCTGTGCCAGGGCCTTGGCCCCCTTGACCCAGCTTTCAGCTCCTTCAACCCCCCCCCCCCCCCCCCCCCCCCCCCCCCCCCCCCCCCCCCCCCCCCCCCCCCCCCCCCCCCCCCCCCCCACTCTCCCGCCACCGCCCCCAACCCAGCCCACCAGCTCCAGCCCTCACCCCCTCCGGCCCTGGCCCAGCCCCAGTTCTCAGCCGGGGGGGGGGGTAGCTGCGGGGAGGGGGAGAGGGGTCTGGTGACTGGTCTGGAAAGGCCCCAGAATTAAATTTATTTAAATTATTTAAATTATTTAAATTATCTAATTGGGTCAATTAAATAAAATAAATAATTTAAATAATCTTGCTTATTTAAATTATTTAAATTATTTAAATTATTTAATGGGAGGCAATTAAATAATTTAAATAATTTAAATTATTTTTGCTTATTTAAATTATTTTAATTATTTAAATTATTTAATAGGGGTCAATTAAATAATTTAAATAATTTAAATAAATTAAATAATTTAAATAAATTTAATTCAGGAAACTTTCCAGACCAGCCAGAAAAAAAATCAATTAAATAATTTAAATCCCGCAGTTTAATTAAATCATTTAATTGAGCTGTCGGATTTAAATTATTTAATTGCTTTGCTGGTTGGCCTGGAAAGTTCCCGGAATTAAATTTATTTAAATTATTTAAATTATTTAAATTATTTAAATTATTTAATAGGGGTCAATTAAATAAATTAAATAATTTAAATAATTTTGCTTATTTAAATTATTTAAATTATTTAAATTATTTAAATTATTTAATAGGGGTCAATTAAATGAAGTAAATAATTTAAAGAATTTTGCTTATTTAAATTATGTAAATTATTTAAATTATTTAATGGGAGGCAATTAAGTAAATTAAATAATTTAAATAATTTTGCTTATTTAAATTATTTTAATTATTTAAATTATTTAATGGGAGGCAATTAAATAAATTAAATAATGTAAATAATTTTGCTTATTTAAATTATTTTAATTATTTAAATTATTTAATGGGAGTCAATTAAATAATTTAAATAATTTAAATAAATTAAATAATTTAAATAAATTTAATTCAGGAAACTTTCCAGACCAGCCAGAAAAAAACAATTAAATAATTTAAATCCCGCAGTTTAATTAAATTATTTAGTTGAGCTGTCGGATTTAAATTATATAATTGTTTTGCTGGTTGGCCTGGAAAGTTCCCGGAATTAAATTTATTTAAATTATTTAAATTATTTAAATAATTTAATAGGGGTCAATTAAATAAATTAAATAATTTAAATAATTTTGCTTATTTAAATTGTTTAAATTATTTAAATTATTTAATGGGAGGCAATTAAATAAATTAAATAATTTAAATAATTTTGCTTATTTAAATTATTTTAATTATTTAATTTTTTTAATGGGAGCCAATTAAAAAATTTAAATAATTTAGATAATTTTTGCTTATTTAAATTATTTTAATTATTTAAATTATTTAATAGGGGTCAATTAAATAATTTAAATAATTTAAATAAATTAAATAATTTAAATAAATTTAATTCAGGAAACTTTCCAGACCAGCCAGAAAAAAAGTCAATAAAATAGTTTAAATCCCGCAGTTTAATTAAATCATTTAATTGAGCTGTCGGATTTAAAATATTTAATTGTTTTGCTGGTTGGCCTGGAAAGTTCCCGGAATTAAATTTATTTAAATTATTTAAATTATTTAAATTATTTAAATTATTTAATAGGGGTCAATTAAATAAATTAAATAATTTAAATAATTTTGCTTATTTAAATTATTTAAATTATTTAAATTATTTAATGGGAGGCAGTTAAATAAATTAAATAATTTAAATAATTTTGCTTATTTAAATTATTTCAATTATTTAAATTATTTAATGGGAGTCAATTAAATAATTTAAATAATTTAAATAATTTTTGCTTATTTAAATTATTTTAATTATTTAAATTATTTAATAGGGGTCAATTAAATAATTTAAATAATTTAAATAAATTAAATAATTTAAATAAATTTAATTCAGGAAACTTTCCAGACCAGCCAGAAAAAAAATCAATAAAATAATTTAAATCCCGCAGTTTAATTAAATCATTTAATTGAGCTGTCGGATTTAAATTATTTAATTGTTTTGCTGGTTGGTCTGGAAAGTTCCCGGAATTAAATTTATTTAAATTATTTAAATTATTTAAATTATTTAAATTATTTAAATTATTTAAATTATTTAAATTATTTAAATTATTTAAATTATTTAAATTATTTAAATTATTTAATAGAGGTCAATTAAATAAATTAAATAATTTGAATAATTTTGCTTATTTAAATTATTTTGATTATTTAAATTATTTAATGGGAGTCAATTAAATAATTTAAATAATTTTTGCTTATTTAAATTATTTTAATTATTTAAATTATTTAATAGGGGTCAATTAAATAATTTAAATAATTTAAATAAATTAAATAATTTAAATAAATTTAATTCAGGAAACTTTCCAGACCAGCCAGAAATTATTTAAATTATTTAATTTCTTTAATAGGGGTCAATTAAATAAATTAAATAGTTTAATTAATTTTGCTTATTTAAATTATTCAAATTATTTAATCGGGGTCAATTAAATAAATTAAATAATTTAAATAATTTTGCTTATTTAAATTATTTTAGTTATTTAAATTATTTAATGGGAGGCAATTAAATAAATTAAATAATTTAAATAATTTTGCTTATATAAATTATTTAAATTTTTTAAATTATTTAATGGGAGTCAATTAAATAATTTAAATAATTTAAATAATTTAATTTCATTTCACTTATTAAAACAAAGGAAGGAGCTAAATAGACCCGAAAGGTTGCTCTCTCATATATATATACCAACAAAACAGAAAACTAGGGACTATTATCTTCTATGTTTTTGGAGGTGGCTTTCTGGCTCAGGGCTCAAGAGAGTTGAGCTGAGTTGAGGGTTTTGTGCCCTCGCTCTGCAGGCTCAGGCTCCAGGCGATGCTCCGTGATCTCGCGGAGCCTCACCAGGAAGTAACATATAGGGGCCTGAATAATTAGAATAGGGTTTTGGAGGATTGTTATGGTACAGTTACAAGGGGCTATAAGAATAAGGGAATAAAATAATGAGTGAGAATTCCGACCCCTATAGTGGGATCGAGCCCCTCCATCCAGCCCCCCTTCCTTCTGCTTTTTGCATTCGGAATTCTGCATGACGTGATGAACATGCAGAGTAAAGCAGTTCCCAATATACAAATAACTCTCAAGTAGCGCCATCCGCACTGCCACTACGACAGCAAGCCATACCACTGACGCGGCAACCGGACCACACCTAGCTCCCTGTCGTGCTTCGGGTCAGGTGTAGGCTTCGTGGGCTTTCGTTTAGGGTTGAAGCGCAGGACCAAGGGCCAAAGCTGTCTCAGCAACCTCCCACACAGCAAGCTGCCTCTCTTGCTGGTGCAGAGAGCGAAGGATGTTGTACTTGATGAACCGGGTAGCTGTCCTGAAAGATTTGGTGCAACTTTTCTTGCTGAAAGGGATGCAATGAACATCAGCACATGCAGAAGTGTAAACAAATCTGCACTAGTTCCAACCCATAAATCTACGGCTTGTGGCTTTCCATCGGGTTCGCATGCTGACTCTCCGTGGTCAGTTCTTACCATGGAATGCTTCTCACCGAAACACAAACAAGAAGTGCCTCATCCAAACCACTTGCGTAATGTTTAGGGTGGCTTGGGGTTCTAGGCCTTGGGGTGCACGAAAATCCCTCGTCCTGTTCCCTACAGCCAAACCATGACCAAGTCCCCTAAACCCTAAACCCTAAACCCTAAACCACAAATGCCAGCACTAAAGATACGAATTCGTAGCGGGTTTAGGGTTGAGGCCTTCGCCTTGGTATCTAGGAGCTTGCTGCATAGCCCTCGAGTGGTAAAGAGTAAGTGCAGGGAAGACAACCCTAAACCCTAAACCCTAAACCCTAAACCCTAAACCCTAAAGGCTACGGAAGACAAACTTTCACAGCTTTCGCGGGGGTAATTCGGGTCATGTTGGGGCCCAGCGGCCCTACAAGATCCACTCCAAGTCCAAAGGGCATTGCTACATAGGGCCCGTAAAGCCCTGAAACCCTGAAACCCTGAAACCCTGAAACCCTAAAACCCTAAAACCCTAAACCCCTAAACCCTGAAACCCTGAAACCCTAAACCCTGAAACCCTGAAACCCTGAAACCCTGAAACCCTAAAACCCTAAACCCTGAAACCCTGAAACCCTGAAACCCTGAAACCCTAAAACCCTGAAACCCTGAAACCCCTAAACCCTGAAACCCTAAACCCTAAAACCCTAAACCCTGAAACCCTGAAACCCTAAAAACCCTAAACCCTGAAACCCTAAACCCTAAAACCCTAAACCCTGAAACCCTAAAACCCTAAACCCTTAAACCCTAAAACCCTTTTGCATCCAGGCCTCTGAACCCTAAAACCCTAAACCCTGAAACCCTAAAAACCCTGAAAACCCTAAACCCCACAGCAGCTAGAGCTGAGCCAGAGTGTCTTGGACTCGTGCACCCATCGACTCAGCGGCTCGATGAACTCGCTCTTCTCCACGGTCCCCGAGCCTTTGTTTGGGAAAGGGTTTAGGGTTTAGGGTTTAGGGTTTAGGGTTTAGGGTTTAGGGTTTAGGGTTTAGGGTTTAGGGTTTAGGGTTTAGGGTTTAGGGTTTCGGGCTTGGGCGGTTGAGCTCGTTTGCTCACATAGGCGCGCCCTTGTCGGGTGGGATGAGGGTTCAGGGTCCCCTGCTAAGGATATTTGCTTCTTCAGAGCCCTTCTACCCTTTCAACCCTAAACCCCATCTAGCCATGTTGGGATTTCCGGGGCGTGATAGGTGCGGCAGTTAGAGGGTTCAGGGTTTAGAGTTTGGGGTGTAGGCCTTTGCAAGCCATGGACTGCTCATAACACTTTGTGGAGGGTTTAGGGTTTAGGGTTTAGGGTTTAGGGTTTAGGGTTTAGGGTTTAGGGTTTAGGGTTTAGGGTTTAGGGTTTAGGGTTTAGGGTTTAGGGTTTAGGGTTTAGGGTTTAGGTTTTAGGGTTTAGGGTTTAGGGTTTAGGGTTTAGGGTTTAGGGGTCTAGCAAGCTGCTTTGGACACACATCGATGACTCCTGGCTACCAGCTCCGAATTCTTAGTGGCCGTCGAAGCCACCATCCACATCGATCATCTCAAACAGCTGCTGCAAGTCTGCCTTGCCCCACCCCTAAACCCTAAACCCTAAACCCTAAACCCTAAACCCTAAACCCTAAACCCTAAACCCTAAACCCTAAACCCTAAACCCTAAACCCTAAACTTAAACCCAAACCTGAACCCTGAACCCAATTTTTAGGGGTGTAGGGTCGCATTATGATGGCAGCCCCAATGAGGGACCATGATTTAGAGCACTGCCCACGGTGCGAAGCGTTGCATCGCGACCCCGACTCCCAAGGGACTGATGCAGAATGACCCGATTCTTGGTCAGTGGCATGAAAGGGGAACAGTATATTTTATAGGGTTTAGGTTGGTCTTTTGCCACCTGCCTGGTAGCCCCCGCACCACACCAGCGTTTAGGGTCTGGGGCTAATAATTTCGGCTCGCCCTCCGCAGTCTGATCCATGCTCCGGTGTTGATGCGAAGGCATACCCGGGCGGTTGCTCTGAATTCGGGGCCAGTTAAAGGCAACTTTCTGAATCGGATTCCTCATCCAAGAACAAAACCGCTTGGGCTTAGGGGGACCTCAAGGTTGTAGGGTTTAAAGCTACGTTGTTTCGGTGGCCGAAATTCCGAAACAAAAGTGGAGTTCCTTGGCTCCGGGTCAGAATTCTTGAGGCTTCCGTTGCCTCATCGATGTCCATGACCCTGAGGCGACTCTGCAATTCCGGATCCTTAGCTGGCACAGACGTTGGAAATCAATATGTATAGACATAACAATAAGAGTTACGAAAGACTATATGTATATATATATAATATATATATATAAATACACATACATACATACATACATACATACATACATACATACATACATACATACATACATACATACATACATACATACATACATACATACACATATTCTGAATGTATTTATGCATATATCAAGCCTATTGAAATTGTGCTATACTATGTTAAATGTGGTGCAAGAATGGAAACGCATCAGCCCCTCCCGAGGAAGCTTGAGCCGAAGTTCTTCCTGCGCAGCTGTGAAGAGGTCTTCCAAGGACAGCTGACCACCTCGAAAACAGTCACGCACACTCAATCTGGCAGAGTTCTACAGCTGGCTGTGCACCTTTGCTACTGAAAGCTACAACACCCAAAGAGAAGCTGGGTGATCTCATTGCGTTTTTGGCTTCGGATGCTTTCGGATGCCTCCTCGTAAAAAACTGTCTGTGGGATCCATAAATCTTTTCAGCCCGTCCAGTCACTGCCCTGCGTGTCGACGCGGTCGAAGATTCTCCTCGGCTGCACGCGGAGGCACTCCTGTGCAGCCCTGAGACGAACGATGTGATGACAGTCAGGGCGAGCCAATGTGACCCGCGCTACGCTCATGTCATGGAACGCGCAACAAGCGGCCAGTCATGGAAGGCTCAGGCCAAACAGGGCAGCCACAGCATCAACGACTCAAACGACTACATGGGCGAGTCCTTCCCGAAGCGAAACGTGCAGTACCCTGTTTGTGGGGCCTTTAGACATGTGGGGCTACTTACCGGGTACCCCAAATAATCTGAAACACCCGCGTCGCCAAGTGTGCTAAGTTGTGGCTTGCTTAGGCACCCTCAGGCCCTTAAATCACAAAAAAAACCTACGACGACCACGACGACGACTGCCACTCCCGCTGCGACTACAACTACCACGACTACAACGACGACTACTACTAAGAGGGGTACTTGTATTTGACGCTGTGGTTTTTCCTTACTTGATGCGCTTCGACGCATGGGTGTTTGCTGCTTTGAATCACTCCGCAGGGTCCCTCAGGATGTTGCATGGACCTGACAGGCCTTTCGTGTTAGCTGCAGATTCATTTGTCCCGCATCCATGGCCGAACGGTGGCCTTATAACAGATGAGATCCAGGACTCTTGGGCTGCCTAGGGGTTTAGGGTTTAGGGTTTAGGGTTAGGGTTTAGGGTTTAGGGTTTAGGGTTTAGGGTTTAGGGTTTAGGGTTTAGGGTTTAGGGTTTAGGGTTAGGTTTAGGGTTTAGGGTTTAGGGTTTAGGGTTTAGGGTTTAGGGTTTAGGGTTTAGGGTTTAGGGTTTAGGGTTTAGGGTTTAGGGTTTAGGGTTTAGGGTTTAGGGTTTAGGGTTTAGGGTTTAGGGTTTAGGGTTTACAGTACTTCAAGGATTCGGGCCTCGGAGATTCTGACAAGGTTTCGGGCCAACCTTCCCGAGCTTGGCTCCCCCGGGAAACCTTCCTCAAAATACTGTAGGGGTCGGAAGAATTACTAATAGTATTCCCTTATGGTCCCTGTATAAATAATACAATAATATACTATAAGAACCCCGAAAATAATATAATAATATAAATCATATAATAATATACTATAAGAACCCCCCAAAACACTATTCTAATTGTTAAAGTCCCCTATATTATGGCAAGCCGAGCAGCTGCAACAAGCGCCGGTCTTCCTCGAAGTCAGTTTCTAGCTCCTGGCACATGCTTGCGAACGAGGGCTTAGGGTTTAGGGTTTAGGGTTTAGGATGTAGGGGCCAACTTTTTTTCATCAGGGTGCATACACGATCCACACTATTCCCTATGAACCCCGATGGGTATTTATGGCTGGGGTTATAAACGCGGGTAGCTATGGCCGTAAGTGCTGACAACCTTCGAAAGCACAGGATTCTCGCACGGGCATAATGCATGCTAACAGCATTTCGGGTGGCTTCTGACCTACTACTTGCTGAAGAACCACCCTAAAAGCAATATTGCCCTTATAGGGAAGAGCATGTTTTTTTGGGGGGAGCTGGGCCCTTAAGCACATGGCACAAACCGATGATGGCCCTTAAAACCCTCTGAGCAAATCTTGAAGATGATCCTCTTAAACCTAAATAAGGGAAAGCATACAATGTCCCAAAGGCCTACCTAGTAGCTGGCCAAGAACCTCTAGACCCAGGAGTAACCTAGGAATACAAAGGGTGCCCTTTTTGGCTCATAGGGGCTTGCAAGGGAACCTAGACCCTAACGAAAAGGGAATAAGGGCCTACTCTAGGTCCTTGACCTTCAAGTATGCCACATCACAGAACGAATTCAAGAGCCCTCAACTTCAGAAGGCCTGCAACGCCGGACTTGTGCCACCTTAAGGTTTACAGGGTTTAGATTTTAGGGACCCTAAACCCTAAACCCTAAACCCTAAACCCTAAAGCCCCGAAAGCTTGTCGGCCTCAGCCATGCCAAGCACATCGCGCTGCCGTGTCTCGGCAAAAGTGTCCACCACAACCTTCCCATTAGGGTCCTATAGAATCCCTTAAAGGGTATATGTAGGGTACCCTACACAATCCCTTAAAGGGTATATATACCTGCCTAAGGTCATAGGTTTGGGGTTTCGGTCTCAGGATTCATTGGGGGATTTGCAAAATCTTGGAGCTCTGTTCCAACTAGGCAACTGAGTGACTTGTACGATCTGCTACCACAGCTGCGACGACAACTCCAACAACTCCGAAATTGGCATCGGCACCCAAAAAGTCAACCTCAAGCAAAGCTTCCGAATTAGTATTGTCGCACGAGTCCAACCAGGGCACTCTAATGCAAAACCCTAAGCTCTAAACCCATCCGAGACAAACTCTGTCGAGATTCTGCGACTATGAGGTTGAGCACCTGGGCGTCTCAAGCGTTTCAAGCGTCGCTACGATATTGCGAGTCGGCTAGAGTTCCACAAACCCATGAGAGGGGTCACTTATTCAGGGGTCAATGCGTGGCCTGGAGTTTTCCTTGAGGTGCTAAATGCTGTATGCAGGAGAAGGCGGACAGGGGCTGCTGCCGGGAGATTCCGTCTGTTTTGGGGGGGTTTACACGATCTTAGGGGTACCTTATTGGGATCCTTGTTAGCCTTGTTATAAGGGGATCCTACAATTTGGGGGTCTATATTTGGGGTCCCTTAGTATCGTAAACACCCTTTTGTGTTGTCGCTGGCCATGATCGTTCTTGTGCTGCTTGCCAAGGGCTGTGTCTACGCGGGTGCTTCCAGTTTGCACGTCCCTGCTCGTCGCCGCTGCCTTCAAGAAGCCTAAACTGTTAACCCTAAACCCCGAACCCTAAACCCTAAACCCCGAACCCCAAACCCCAAACCCCACTGTCTCAAGAAGCTGGCTACATGGAAGCATAGGGAGAAACGGTCCTTTGTAGGGATTATAGGGTTTATGGTTTCTGGATTATTATAGCAGGGGGTATGAAAACCCCTATTAAGGGACTGCTAGTATAAGGGGGAACATCCCAAACTTAAGGCTTAGACGCACATTCGTTCAGAGGGCTGGCTTCGGAGCATCGCGGGTTTTGTGTCAGGATGCTCCCCCGTATACTAAACACCCACTGGGATTCGAGTACCACCATTATAATCCCTACTAAATCCTGCTAGTATAAGGGGGAGCATCCGAAGTTTAGTGTTTCAACCCCCCCCCCCCCCCCCTAAACCCTAAACCCTAAACCTTCTCAGGGGATTGCAGGGTGCCGTTCCTGGGCCACCCTACGCCGAAGACCAGCGTCAGCAATGACCCGACGAAGATGATGGCAGTGGCTGGGTGCGCCTGGCTTGGGTTTAGGGTTCAGGGTTCAGGGTTCAGGGTTCAGGGTTCAGGGTTCGGGGTTCGGGGTTCGGGGTTCGGGGTTCAGGGTTGAGGTTTAGGGTTTAGGGTTTAGGGCGCATTCGGATTCGGCTTGGGTTTATGTCATCCCGTCAGCTTAAACCATGAATGCTATGAAGCCTCAAGTCCTAAGCCTGGGGATGTACCCCGTATACTAACAGTCCTTAACAGGGACTTTTGCTCCCCCTATTATAATCCCTATTCAGGGCTGTTAGTATAAGGGGAACATCCCAACCTAAACCCTAAACCCAAACACCCCTGACGCACCTCAATCACCGGGACGGCAATCAGACCCCAGCTGTCACCGGCAATCACAGTCCTCGGTTTGCAAATGGTGGGTTTAGGGCATCGGTGTTAAGGCACAACCCTGAACCCTAAACCCTAAACCCTACAAGATCCTAAAGGCCCCCCAAAGACCCTAAACCTTTCTTGTTGAAACATTGCTGTGTCCTGGCACTTCGCCCCCCCCCCCTTTTTGCCTTGTTTCCGATGCCCTACATCCACAAAAGAAACGGGGGACTGGTAGGGCTTTTTTGTCGGCTGTTTTTCACGCGGAAGCCTCGGCCAACACATGGATGAGGCTAGGGTTCTAGGGCTAGGGCCCTTCGGCAGCCTGGCCCTAGAAGTACTGTCTTGGTAGGGCTGTTTGTGCCACCTGCCTGGATGCCTAAACCCTAAACCCTAAACCTTAAACCCTAAACCCTAAACCCTTTTTGTGCCAGGGCTCTCTCAAGCACCTGGTCGCAGACTGTGCGCCACCCTAAACCCTAAACCCGAAACCCTACACTGCATTGCAACAGCCTCTGCGCTTCTGAGGTTTTGCGGCGAAGTTGAGGAACTACGAGCAGCCTTGCAGGGCTGCCTTGAACAAAATATATCTCCAGAGCGAGACTACCTACCATGTACTTAAGAACCCCCCCCCCCCAAAAAAAAAAATGAAAAAGAATAATCCCCACATATTACCCTTAAAAGTTAGGATGTTTCCCCTTATACTACAGTCCTTAATCGGGATTTAGTACCCCCGATTGCAATCCCTATTCAGGACTGTTTGTATAAGGGGGGACCAACTGGTGTGTAAACCCATGGAGTAAGTCGATCAACGGGCTTAAGGGCAGGGGCTCTTTGTAAAGGCGCCCAGAAGCCCTGCACCCTAAACTCTGAACCCTAAACCCTAAACCCTAAACCTCTCATTCAAGACTTGGAGGTCGAACTTCGACGCCCATCTGCAGCCTGAGTCTCTTGAAGAGCAGCAAGTTTGCCATCATGACCTGGAGGGGTGGAGGATTTCGGCCGAGGCGTTTTGAAGTTCGTAAGGTCAGTCGTGGACCCTAAACCCTAAACCGGGAAGCCCTAAACCCTAAACCCTAAACCCTAAACCCTAAACCCTAAACCCTAAACCCTAAACCCTAAACCCTAAACCCTAAACCCTAGCTTAGGCAACCCATAACTTCCAGCAAACCCTGAGCTGCAGCTGATTCCTACCTCACGGCTCGTGACTCTGGCCCCCGAAACGCTCGGCAACCCTCTACAGGTAGCCCAGTGGTATCTTTACCTTTTTCTTGGTTCTGGGTTTAGGGTTTAGGGTTTAGGTCCCTTTTAAAGTAGCCTACCCCAAAATGGGTGCTACAATACTACGTTGGCCCTTAAGACCTGAAAACCCTCTGAACTAGATGTGATCCTCTTTAAGCCAGTAAGGGTACATGTAACATACCCGATGGTCCCACCTCAGCTTAACCCTCCAACCATTCGAAACCCATCCTAAAACCCTAAACCCTAAACCCTAAACCCTAAACCATGAAACCCACATAAAATGCAGAGCGGCCGAGGATGACATCCGGACGCACTCTTCGCAGTCCTTGGTAGCCCAGTAACCCTATGATAATAAGGGCACCCATTTTGGGGTAGGTTACTTTATAAGGGACCTAAATCCTAAACCCTCAACCCTAAACACTAAACCCTAAACCCTAAACCCAGAACCAAGAAAATGGTAAAGTGTACCACTGGGCTACCAAGAGTCCGCAAAGGTGCTGGAGCTCTCGTGCAAGTCAACAATTAGCCTCACAAGCTCTTGTCATGGGGCTTTTTGTGGTTGCAATCTTCATCGCGAGCCGCGTAATTCACGCTCCTCACCCATGGACCCCTTCCTCTTACACCACTACCCTTTTTTTCCTTACGCCACTACCCTAAACCCTAAACCCGAAACCTCCGTGAGCGTGCGTGCCCGCCTCCTGTGATGATTTTGTCGTGAAATACTCAGTTGCGAGCAATCCCAGACCCCGGGCTGGATCCCCTAAACCCTAAACCCTAAACCCTAAACCCTAAACCCTAAACCCTAAACCCTAAACCCTAAACCCTAAACCCTAAACCCTAAACCCTAAACCCTAAACCCTAAAGGGTTCCCAAGCATGACCCCAAAAAGTAGTAGAGGGTACTCTGCGGGGGCTTTTCAGGGGCCTGGGATACTCAATATGCTGAGGCTGCGGCTCGCCCATGTGGAGCTTGCTGTGGTGGAGAGGGTCTAGGGTTTAGGGTTTAGGGTTTAAGCTGTGCAGTCTTTTCGGCAGGTGCAGAGAATCGCCCAGCCCGAGAGTGGTTCTTCTGACGTGGGTGCCCTGAAGTATGGATTGCCTGCCTCACACGCATGTGCGGCAGATTTGATCCTCTTCAGGCTTCTCCCCGCCTTTCTGTCGTTCACTCTATCAGCGACGATCTCGGTCTACTTCGGAGAGGCGAATGCTGTTGACACAGAATGTTGCACGCACTGTTCGCGGTAGCTAGCTCAGGGTACCCAGATCCCTGGGTGGATCCAAAAAGTAGATCTCCCGGTACTACTTGGGGGGAATATCTTTCTTCGCGGGGGGGGGGGGGTGGGTGGGGGTTCTTACGCAATTCGTAGTCTTGTGCCAAAGGAACGGCTGCACGAGATCCACAAGCAGCATGGACCAAAAGGTCCTCCGCTTGCAGAGCTCAATGTGTCTAACCTTGAAGTATGGTTTCTGCGCCGTGCACCAAGATAAACCCTAAACCCTGTAGACCCTAAACAATAATACAGCACGGCCTGCTGTTGGCTGAAAGCTCCAAGGAAAAATCAACCGCTGCAGGTTGAGATTGTTCCCTCGAGGCCTAAACTGTGCGGCACGCCCTACCCGGAAATGGACAGTGCCTGTCAAGGCCCAAAACATCCGAAATCGTTCTGCTGCCTTCGGCTTGAGGACAAGGCTCATCACCACGAAACAGAAAAGGAAGGACCACAGCAGCGTTCGAAGGCATGTTGTCGCCATGGTTAGCACCTTGCGTAGCCTTGGGTTCAAAGGGCTGGCCGTTGTGACATTCCGAACAGCATTCCCTTGTGCGCAGTGATTGCTGCAGTTGTTCTGGCAACTTCTGGTCCTTGCAAGTGGGCCTAAAACAACCAGGGTTTCAGTCAATCACGCCCTACGCTGAAGGGACTATTAACAAACAAAACTGCTCCAGAGTTGAAATTCCCGGAAAATAGCTTGTGTACGGTGTACGGCGAGTATGAAACGAAGACATCTATGACTACGAGCTCGAATAGCACATGTCCTACGACAGAAAAGAGGGGGTTGGGAAGGGAGAGAGGGGGCTTCTCCATCCTATCTTTTAGATAACTCTAGGTTTAGGGTTTAGGGTTTAGGGTTTAGGGTTTAGGGTTTAGGGTTTAGGGTTTAGGGTTTAGGGCACAACAACCCGAACCATCCGAATAATGACGATCATCATGCTTAGATCATACAATCACGAAACAACAAGGTGACCCCAGGCTTCACAACCACGGCGACCAAAGTAGTCAAGAAAAGACCATCATCAGAATCCTGATGGCCATCGCTACATTAAAACAAGCATGAATAGTCAGTGGTCATGACCCTAATGATGATGACTTTGGAAAGATGATAGAAGAAGCTAAGAACCCTATTTGTCCAGGACTACCAAACCCTAAACCCTAAACCCTAAACCCTGAACCCGAAACCCTTGGTGCAGGCCATCGGGCTCTTTGAAGTAGCCGACGCGCCGGAAAAGCTTCAGCAGACCTAAAGCTGTATCGAGCGTTAGGGTTTAGGGTTTAGGGTTCAGGGTTCAGGGTTTAGGGTTTAGGGTTTAGGGTTTAGGGTTTAGGGTTTAGGGTTTAGGGTTTAGGGTTTAGGGTTTAGGGTTTAGGGTTTAGGTTTTAGGGTGAGGATGATAGTTCTAGGCATGAACCACATTAGGGTTTAGGGTTCAATGGGGCTTAGAGTTTAGGGTTTAGGGTTGGGGTGCTCCCCCCGATACTAGTACCCCCCCTATTAGAATCCCCTATCAAGGACTGTTAGTATAAGGGGGAACATCACAAGTTCTAGGGCTGAGTAGGGTTTAGAATTCGGGTTTGTAGCGTCTGCAGGGCTTGTAGGAGTTAGGGTTGCAGGGCGCTAGGGCCGCTAGGGTTTCTAGGGTTTCTAGGGCTTCTAAAAGGGCACAGCTATCGGATTTTAGGGTCTTGGGGCGTAGGCGCACACCCTCGGCCCACTGACCTTACTAAGGCCAAATGTCCAGACGAACTGGGGTCAACCCTAAACCCTACATTCTAAACCCTCCCAAACTCCTACGCGCCTTTGCTTTACATTCTCCCGACTGAGGTTCGGGGCGGGGGGCATAAGGAGGGGGAAGGGGGTGGGCAAAGGGTTTCTAAACAAGTCCCTAAGCCATAGTACATATGGACTTGTCATATTCCTCAGGGCTTCGAGTCGGGAGTGCCGGCGGAAAAGAAGTCCCAAGCAGCCCAGAATGCCCAAGCCCCAGCACTGCTGACTATAGCCTGAACCCCAAACCCCACATATATATATATATACATATGCATATGCAATATAACTGAAGTTCTTTCTACGAGAGGTGTTCCCTGAGTTTCACCACTGACTTTTCACGATTTAGGGTCAGGGGCTCAGGGTTAGGAGGTCGTTGAGGATTTCGGGATTAGGGTGGGGGTTTAGACCCCTAAACCCTAAACCCTAAACCCTAAACCCTAAACCCTAAACCCTAAACCCTAAACCCTAAACCCTAAACCCTAAACCCTAAACCCCTAAGGCTTGGCTTCTGATGGCCTGCATTGGCAGATCAGATCCACAGTGCCGGTGGGACACGCAATGTACGGGCAATCCGCAGCATTCGGAACGCCACGATGCTGTCGGCGACAGACTCCACTGTCAGAGCAAGGATGAGCTCGCCCTTAGTTGCTGCGTTGGGCATTGGGTCTAAGACTTCCGCTACTTGAAGAGTCATGGGTACTTAGAAGCGGGGTTGTAAGTACCCCAGACAAGGTTATAGCCATAGATTTCCTACCCATGAACCTTCAGGCTATGCCGATGATGACAAAACAACAAGCATGCTCAGACTCAGCGCATGCCGCACTCACTGACATCTCCCACCCCAAAGAGCCCAATACCCCCTTAACTAAGGAACATTCCTTAAATCATAAGGATCCCTTTTAAGATTTAAGCTATAGAGCGACAAATCGTCGAAGCTCTTCAAATGCTCTAGCCTGGGCCTCAAAGTAGGGTTTAGGGTTTTTTTGCGGGTTTAGGGTGCTTGTCGGCCTTCAACAGCCCCCCCCCCCCTCCCCCCCCTCCCCCCCCTCCCCCCCCCCCCCCCCCCCCCCCCCCCCCCTCCCCCCCTCCCTCCATCCCCCTCCTCCCCCTCCCCCCCCCCCCCCTCCTCCCCCCCCCCCCTCCCTCCCCCCCCTCCCCCCCCCCTCCCCCCCTCCCCCCCCCCCCCCTCCCCCCCCCTCCCCCCCTCCCGCCCCTCCCCCCCCTCCCCCCCCTCCCCTCCCCCCCTCCCCCCCCTCCCCCCCCTCCCCCCCCCCCCTCCCCCCCTCCCCCCCCTCCCCCCCCTCCCCCCCTCCCCCCCCTCCCCCCCTCCCCCCCCGCCCCCCTCCCCCCCCTCCCCCCTCCCCCCCCCCCCCCCTCCCCCCCCTCCCCTCCCCCTCCCCTCCCCCTCCTCCCCCCCCCCCCCCCTCCCCTCCCCTCCCCCCCCTCCCCCCCCTCCCCCCCCTCCCCCCCCTCCCCCCCCCCCCTCCCCCCCTCCCCCCCCCTCCCCCCCTCCCCCCCCCCTCCCCCCCCTCCCCCCCCCTCCCCCCCCCCCCTCCCCCCCCTCCCCCCCCCCTCCCCCCCCCCCCCCAACCAAATGTACTGGTAGGCGTATTCCGTATACCTGGCTTTACAACCCTAAACCCTGAGCCCTAAATCCTAAGCCCTAAACCCTAAATCGACGATGCGCCCGTGCTGCAGTCTCCAGCCTCCACCCAGACCAACATAATTTAACTAGGGATTAAGGTTTAGGGATGTTTTTTAACGGGTATTCAGAGTAGCTCATGTTACAATTCTGCAGGGCCGATAAGGGCATGATTCAGAACATGTTGACGAAGAGCCGCAACTGGTGACACGCCCAGATTTTACACCCTCAACCCCATAGACCAAGAGAGCCCGACACCTCTCAAGCTCAAGGAACACACCTTCAAACTGCACAGAGGCTGAATTTGAACCCTAAACCCTAAACCCTAAACCCTAAACCCTAAACCCTATAAAGCCGACTTGAAGGTTCATGGGTACTTAGAAGTGGGGTTATAAGTACCCTACATAAGGTTACAGCCATAGTTCTCCTACTTCTACCCCTACCTATAAGTACCCTAGTGAAGGCTACCGGGAGAGATTCTTGCAAGGAGGTCGTGCCGGGGCTCATAGCCACAGAGAATGATCAGCAACTCCATCCTCGGGGAAAAAGGATCTTCGGGAAGGGTTTAGGGTTTAGGGTTTAGCGTTTAGGGTTTAGGGTCTAGGGTCTAGGGTCTAGGGTCCAGGGTCTAGGGTCAAGGGTCTAGAGGGTTTAGGGGGGAGCCTTTTCAGAGTATGCGTACCGCTAAGCTTCGGGTTTTCAGGGGTCTGGATTTTAGGGCCTGCGGGCAAAGCCTGAAAGGAAGGCCTGCGCCTGTGCTTCCCCCTTTTGCGTTGAAGCGTGCTGAACTAGACCCGAAACAAACCTTGTGGTTCGCAGGGTATGCGGGAATTCGGTACTCTAGCTCATTCCCTAATATAGAGCCCCAAGTAGTGGGATCCCCCTTGTAGTGAGGCCCCAGTAAGGTAGCCCTAGTATCGTAAACCCCCAACCCTAAACCCTAAACCCTAAACCCTAAACCCTAAACCCCCGCATTCCCTGCTCAGAACCGGTCAGTAGACCCTAGATCCTGATCAACCCCAAGGCTCCCAGCACCTGCTCTCGATCACTGGCGGCTGCACGCAGGTAGTCTACTTGGGGTCTTTAGGGTTCTTGGGTTGTTTTTTTTTAGGGTTTAGGGTTCTTGGGTTTTTAGGGTTTAGGGTTCTTGGGTTTTTAGGGTTTGGGGTTCTTGGGTTTAGGGCTCCTAGTCGGAAAGTGGCCCACCAAGGCCTACCCTCAGCCCGTGGTTGCCCCCTTGATTGCCCCTAAACCCTAAACCCTAAACCCTAAACCCTAACCCTAAACCCTAAACCCTAAACCCTAAACCCTAAACCCCTGCAGCTAGGCACATGAGCATCAAATCTTTGACAATACGCCGGCCGCGGACAAACAACCTTGGCTTCGGTTGCCCTAGTCTCTTCGAAGCCAAAGCTGGTTTAGGGTTTAGGGTTAAACCCTAAACCCTAAACCCTAAACCCTAAAACCTAAACCACAGGTTTAAAGGTTCTGGGGTTGAATCTCCTCCCCCCCACGCATAGATGGAACCCACACAAACGAAGAATTACTTAAGCACGGTGAAGAACACGACCTCCTGCGCGCTTGACAACAAGGTGAAGGCAGGGACACACTTAGACTTAGCACCACAGACCCCGAAGCACCTTTTCTACTGTGGGATGTTGCCCCCTAACAGTCCTTGGCATTCTTGTACCCCCTATTATCATCCCTATGAAGGACTGTTAGAAAAAGGGGGAACGTTGCCCCCTAACAGTCCTTAGTATTCTTGTACCCCCTATTATCATCCCTATGAAGGTCTGTTAGAAAAAGGGGGAACATCCCAATTTCTACCAGTTGCTTAAGAACACCCCCTCCCCCCCCAAAAAAAAAAAAAAAAAAGATCCCATTTTTTCTCTTATGTTGCCCTAAGAAGTTTTTTATTTTGTTTTGGGGGGGGGGTTCTTAAGCAACATAGTATCTGAGCCGTGTCGGCCGACAGCCTTTCATCTCTTCCCCGGATTGCAAGTCGGTGGGCCTTTTCCTATACTCCCCTTAGAACCTTAATCAAAATAGTATTTTTAATATCCTCTTGGGTTTTATATAAACAAAAATAATTCCAAGCTAAGTTAGAGTCCTTCCCCCCCCCCCTTTCAAAAAGGGGAATACTCGCAAGATGGTAGACCCTCTTCAAAAGTAAGGGGAAAAGGTCTCCCCCCCCGTTAGACAAAGTGAATATTCGCAAGAGCAAGCTTATACACTCTGAGCTCAGAAAGAACTCTGGCTAGGATGGCCCATAAAACCCTCTGAAAATTTATTCCTGAATCTGATCCTCGGTTTACGGTTGGGTTTAGGGGTAGGGTTTAGGGTTTGGGGTTTAGGGTTTAGGGGTTAGGGTTTAATAAGGGGAAATATAAAATGTCCGAAAGGCCTGCCTAGCTGGGAAGGCAGGCTTAGAGCCAGAACAAGTGACGCCTTGCGCAACACCTAGACGGAACAAGCCCTGGTTGTCCATGCGGCTTAGGGCTTCGGTTTTGAGTTTAAGGATGAGGGAGAACAATTCTAGTATGTAGAAAGCAAAACGACAACAACAACAATAACAACCCGAACGCTGACTAGCAGTTGCAGAAAAAACTTTCGTGCAGCTGGGAGGCCAGCTCAGCCATTCCACTGTATACCTTAGTCGAATGGCGCTTAGTCCACAAGATCGCACTTGGCCCCTAACTATTCTTGTGGCTTGCAAGACCCCTAAACCCTAAACCCTAAACCCTAAACCCTAAACCCTAAACCCCAAACCCTAAACCCTAAACCGATCAGATGTCAAGTCCAAGCCGGGTGAGAGAACATCCCGGACCCTGCAACCTGCATCACCAACTGCAGCTCAAAGCTAGGTGACTGTACTCTAGGAGACTACGAGGTGCTGAAGAACCCCCCAAAAAGCATTCTTCCTTATAAGGTAATATAGGGATTATCACTTTTCGTTAAGAACCCCCTAAAAAATTCTTCCTTATAAGGTCATATAGGGATTATTATGACTATTGTTATTATTATTATTATGATTAATATTATTATTTGGGGGGGTCTTAAGCAAATAGTAGGAGAGGCGGGGTGGTTCTGAGGGTGCAAGGACCTGGGACGCGAGCCTCCAGGGTTTCGGGCTTGCGGTTGAAAGAGCCCCCTAAACCCTAAACCCTAAACTCTAAACCCTAAAACCTAAATGACCCTAAACTCGGAGCCCGAAGATTGCCACGATACAGAACGAGGCAGAGCTGTGTTGTCACCGACACCCAGGCGATCGGAGGCAAGCTCGCGGCACCCCGGTCGATGTCCACGCAGGACAAGTAGGCATCAAACCTGTTTGAAAGGGGTTTAGGGTTTAGGGTTTAGGGTTTGACCAAGGGGGAAGCCTAGGAACAATAGGGATGCCCCGTTTTTGATTTAAAGGAGCTTGTAAGGGAACCCTGAACCCAAAAAAAGGGAACCAGACCCCACTCTGGGTAAGAGAGACCGCACTTAGGGAGGACTAGTAGTTCAGAGAAGAGGGCCTAAAGGGCATATGACCCAGATTTTAGGGTTTAGGCTTTTAGGGTTCAGGGTTCAGGCGGGAGGGAAGGGAGCCAAGCGCTGCTCACTTCACCCGCATTTAAGTGAGGGCGGGGCCAACATAGGGAAACACAGCCTAAACCGTGAACCTTTAGGGTTTAGGGTTCTAAGCCCTCAACCCCTAAACCCCTTAAACCCCCCCATAACCCTAAACCCACAAACCCCCTTCTTGCATCTGGACAGCGGGCCACAACCCCTAAACCTCTAAACCTAAACCCCAAGATCCACTGGCCTCGCCGCAAGCCGCAAATGATCAAGCCACTGTCAACCCCAAACCCTACAGTACAGAGGGATTAGGGGTTTATAGGGTCTTGGGTCTTAGAGGCACCCTAAAGCCTAAGCCAGAAACCCTAAACCCTAAACCCTAAACCCTAAACCCTAAACCCTGCATAGGGTTTGGGGTCCTATAGGCACCCTCCCCCCAATCCCTAATTCCCCACGAAGAAACAGTAAGGTTAAGTCAAAGAACCTGGGCATCCTCTAGCTTTGTCCGCTGCTAGGGTTTAGGGTTTAGGGTTTAGGGTTTAGGGTGTAGGGTGTAGGGTGTAGGGTTTAGGGTTTAGATCTTCTCTTCCCATTCTAAGAAACGACGGCCTGTGAGGAGCACTTTCCCCAAACGACAAACCCCAAACCCCAAACCCCAAACCCTAGCTCCTAAACCCTAAACCTTAAACCCTAAACCGATTCAATTCCATATCAGGGAATGGAAGCTTAAGCTTATCGGCTATTAGGGGATAAAGCCTCGCCGTGCCCCATCCTCCCCCCCCCCCCCCCCCCAAAAAAAAAAAAAGCCCAACAAACCTAAAGGCCCTTGGCAGATTTAGGACCCCAAGTGATGTCCTACATCCTGAGCCCGGAAGTTGCTTCCTGCTAGGGTTTAGGGTTTAGGGTTTAGGGTTTAGGGTTTAGGGTTTAGGGTTTAGGGTTTAGGGTTTAGGGTTCAGGGTTTAGGGTTTAGGGTTTAGGGTTTCGGCTTCAGGGTTTCGGCTTCAGGGTTTAGAGGGCTTAGGGCTTAGGGTTTAGGAAGCAGAGGTGCATGGTGATGGCAGCCAGGCTGTTGGTCGTCCATGGGCTCTTCAGGAACATGTAGATGTAACTCTGCATCCTGGCCGCAATGAGGCTATGGTTCTTGGCAAGGAATGAGGGAACTTAGGGGCCTAGATATGCCCTGTAAGGGATGACCTAGGGTAGTTGCCGAAATTCCCTACTTTCCCTACTGAGAACTAGCCAGATGACTCGATTCGGGGCATTGACAGCTTCAAAACCAACGTTTCATAGCGCCCTGCTCGCACTAGCTCTGGTACGTTCGGGCCCAGCTGACCAGTCCAAGAGGCACAGTACGACCGTCCAGAAACGATCCGTGGAGGTCTCTCTTGATGAACTGTGCGGAGACCGTCGGCATCGCGTTCACCGATGAACCTTAACAGTTGGGATGTTCCCCCTTAATTATACTAACAGTCCTCAATAGGGATTATAACCCCTGTCAGTATAAGAGGGAACATCTCAGCTTAACAGCATTGATATACGACGCGCCTCCCTAAAACTCGCTGCTGCGCAAGGATTCGGATGACAGCTTCATCGGCGTCTGCATCAAACCCCAAGACTCCAAAAAACCCTTAAGTAAGGAATAGACCTTAGATTCGAATAGGAACCCTAATATGATTTAACATATGTTCCTTAATTAAGGGGTTTTGGAGTCTCTGGGAAGGAGGAGCATGGTGCAACGTGAGTTCACAAAGCATAGAGCCGCATCGGAGAAGTGCCGGATACTACGTTTTGAGCGCGGACACGTCGAAATCCTTAGCCTTACAACATCGCTCGCTGTCGCCAAGGACTATACTCCCCCTAGAACCTTAATAAAAAACCACATGTTTAATATTTTCTTGGGTTTTATGTAGACTAAAATAAAAAAGATTTCCCCCGAAGGGGATATCCCCCGAAGGGGATATAGAGGACAGGGGTTGCAGTTGAGGCACGTCGTCTGCCCTTGGCTGCAGCTGGACAGTGCTTCTCGCGCAGTGCCCAACACCGAATTTGGCTTCGATACACTACTTGGGTGGGGATGTTCCCCCCTTATACTAACAGTCCAGTAAGGTACCCCCCCCCCCCCCCCAAGGTTTAGGGTGTAGGGTTTAGGGTTCCCTTTCGAGGGGTTCGAGGACTGGCCCTATGCCACAACACACACCCTACATTGGGCCTGCATGATGCCCTGAAACTTGAGACGGACCTCGAAGGCAACAAACAAGTCCCAAGCCTTGGGCTGTTCCCCCTTATACTAACAGTCCATAGTAGAGCTTCCAATATATACCCCCTATCATAATCCCCCATGATACGCAGGTGAAGTTCCTTCAAGGCGTTCACGGCGCCCGAAGATTCTCTTTGAAGCTGGAACCTTTTTGCATAACCCTAAACCCTAAACCCTAAAACCGTAAACCTCTGGAGTAGTTCGGAGCCGAGGAGCCGAATGGGTGCGATGGACGTCCTTGGCAGCTCATTGACATGAGCAAGTCCAGGGCGTTTAGGGTTTAGGGTTTAGGATTTAGGCAGGTTCATGGGTAGCTATAAGTGGGGTTATAAGTAGGGTAACTATAAATACAACTGATGATAACCTTTTTTAGGGTACTTGCAACCCTACCTAAAACTACCCGGCCCATGAACCTCCAAGTAGGGCTCAGACTTCATGATTTCACAAGGGGAGATCCACAGTTCAAGCAACAAAGAACTCAGCACATGTTGGCCCTGAAACCAGCCGCCGAACTATAGCCGCTGTAGCCCTGCATCCTTGACCATTGGGCACAAAAGAACGATCACTTGGAACATCCCTCCATGTCCATGCAAAACCAACTGCGAGGACTTAGGGCTGCAGTGTTAGGAAGCGACTGCTTTTGTTGCTCATGCTGGTTCAGTTGTTGGTCCCGATGGAACCAGGTTGGAGCACAGGGTTGCGTGTTGTTGGCAACAGGCCGTGGTGTCTGCTTCTGTTGTGACGGAAGAAAATACGGCATAGATGGTAGGTTCGCGAGACGACTTTGAGCCTGCATGGCCCTTTTTAAGGCAACATTCCGGTACAGTTGCCTGCCTGAGCCTCTTTGGCCTGCTTACATTGGCAAAGTTGCCCTGGCCTGCGTGATAAGGCAACATTCGGGCACAGCTGCCCGCCTGATCTGCACTGATAATTATAAAACCATGTCATGTGAGACGCGCGACTGTGTCCTAAACTCTAACAACCCCACATGTCGGGTGCGGTAAAACGAAAATCAGATACCACTGTAAATCCAAGAACCCTAAACCACACACCCTTTTCAACCCCAGCTCTGCAAGGAGCAGCCAGACAAACCCTTTTTTAAACCCTTCAAACCCTAAACAGCCCTAGCTCCAGCACCCAAACCCCCCTTCCCCTCCGAAACCCTGAAGTTCTTCCCCACCCACCCAACTTTTCGGAAGGAGGCGTGGGGGGAGGAAATCCCCAAACCCACCCGAATCCTGAAACATGGGCCAGCTTCGTCGTCGTCATATGGCCCAGGCATTTCGTAGGGATCGTATTCAATGCGCTCCACCATAGTGCCTCAAGTGGGGTCTGTAAAGGGTTTCCAAAGAGCCTTTGATTCGGGAATCGACCTCAAACCATACGGTCGCATTCTCTAAACCCTAAACCCGATATCGACATATATATATATATAGACACACACACATATGATCTCGGTTCGCGGGTCACCGGTCCTCCAACCCCCATAAACCCTTTACCTCTGACCAAACCCTAAATCCTAAACCCTAACCCTAAACGCTCAACTAAACCCTGAATCCCAAACCCCAAACCCCACACAGCACGGGGGGGGGGGGGGATACCATGGGAGGGGATACCACGGGGGGGATACCATGGGATACAATGGGGGGGGGGGGGGGGGGGGGAGGGGGAATGGGCGCGCTCTGATCATATTTGCATATATGCATATATATATATATAGATAGATAGATATATAGATAGATATATGGGTTTGCTCGAGAATGTGTTGGGATAACGGTATGTTTCGGGGGGTATGTTTCACGGCCTGAGCAACCTTACCCTTAAGAATCAAAGGGTTTAGGCTTTAGGGTTTATAGGGTTTGTTCGGGAGCACCCTCAAACCCTAAACCCTAAACCCTAAACCCTAAACCCTAAACCCTAAACCCTAAACCCGGAGAGGTTCGGGGATCCCCGTGAACACAGCGATTGAGTGCCGGGCTCTTGCTCTTCGTGCCCATGCTGTTCATCTTGGAGACCTCCAAGCCGGCCCTGGCCATACACAAGGGTTTAGGGTTCCGGGTTTAGGGTTTCGGGTTTAAGGTTTAAGTTTCTTTAGGGTTTAGGGTTTAGGGTTTAGGGTTTCGGGTTTCCGGTTTCGGGCTTAGGGCTTTCTTTGTGCCACCCGTCTAGCGACGCTCCAGGGGGGGTGGGCACAGGGACTTCCGAGGCATTTGAGGCATTGGGGGCACACCCACAAGTTGAGAAGGCCGCGCCCTTTGTTGGTGAGTTTAGGGTTCGGGGGAACGGAGACGTGGCAGCGTTTAGAGTGTGCTCAGCCCAGTGGCCGTAGTTTTGGCATGTTCTCAATCTTTGCGAAGCCACAAAAACACATTTGGAAATGAACCTGAAAATCCGACTTCCCCGCCACCCCCCCCCCCCCCTCCCCCATAGCAACTCCGATACGTGTGAACCCTCAACCCTAAACCTCAAGGGACAAAAGGAGGGACCCTTCTACGGGACCTTGGAGGTAATTTAGGGGTTTTTAGGGGCTACTTAGGTACATAGGGGCTATATGAGGTATATATATATATCTATATATATATATATAGGGTTTATAATAGGTGAACAAGATTAAGGGTCCCTTTCCAACTGAGATGAGTGGCGAGGAAGTATGGGCCATGGCAGCGGCAGCGCTGGTAGGCACCCTAAACCCTAAGCCCTAAGACCTAAGCCCTACACCCTAAACCCAGCTACCCCAAAAACAAACGAACGTCGAACCGTTCTCAGAGATTTGACAACATAGGCTCGGCGTAGCGAAGCTGGACCTTTTGAACCTTGTAAACCCTAAACCCTACAACTTTTTGGGGGCTTAGGGTGTTCTAAGGTCTATAGCTATAAACCTTACATAAACCTTATGAACCCCAAGCCCTGCGAACCCGAGAGGTGGGTGCTAGGCATTTCCAGCGCCTCCCCCCCGGCACATTTTGTGAGCCAAGAGCGCGGTCGCGTGGGTTAGGGTTCAGGTTTTGGGTTTCGTTTTTTTTTTTTTTTTGGGGGGGGGAGGGGGGGGGGGGGGGGGGTTGGGGGGGGGGGTTGGGGGGGGGGGGGGGGGGGGGTTGGGGGGGGGGGGTGGGGGGGGGGGGGGTTGGGGGGGGGGGGGGGGGGGTTGGGGGGGGGGGGGTGGGGGTGGGGGGGGGGGTTGGGGGTTGGGGGGGGGTTGGGGGGGGGGGGGGGGTTGGGGGTTGGGGGGGGGGGTTGGGGGGGGGGGGGATTGGGGGTGAGCCTTAGGGCTATGGGCTAAGCAAAAAGAAACTTAGAACATGAGAACATGACCGTTAACACCATTTTACGCCCTAAACCCTAAACCGTAAACCCTAAACCCGGTGGACTGCCAACGGCTGCGAGGAAAGAGCGTTCAAACCCTGAGCCCTAGAGCCCTAAAATATTCAAACCTGGGGATGCAGAGGGAGGGCTCAGGGTTCAGGGTTCAGGGTTAAGGGTTTGGGGTCTGGGGTGAACCCTTTTCAAAACTTGCAGCCCTTCGAGGGCGGGGTTTGTCATGCTCTTGTTCGTTTGCGGGCTTCCCTCGGCTGCATTTTGCGGGGCCCCCCCTGACAAAATACGTTTCCGTGGGCAAAAATACGATATTAGTTTGGGTACCTTGTTGGGGTCCTTATCATAAGGGGATCCTACTACTACTATTTGGGGATCTATATTGGGGGTCGCCTATTTAAACCCGCAAATAGGCCTTACAAGGAAACAGCGGCCACAGAAATTGGAAACTAGTTCGGAGTCAACACGTGTTTCTGGTGCAAGTTCTGTGGGAATCGAATGCAACTGTGTGGCCCTGGCAGCTGTTCATTCAAAAGCTGGTCAGCGGAGAAAGAATAGGGGAACGAGATGTTGTCGCTGATCTGCTTCGCAGATCTCTACAGCACCCTCGTGGCCCATGCGTCTCCACGTTTTGAAAACTCTTCTACACCTCACACCGCGCAACCCCTCAAGGTCCTAAACCCTAAACCCTAAACCCTAAACCCAAAATCCTCCTAAACCCTAAACATACGCTCTCAATCCTCCCAGCACACGGCGTAAGTTTCATGCAGGAAATCCCCATGCCATGCAAGGGTCATGCAAGGAGATGGCCTGGGCCTTCTGAAGCGGCCCTAAACCCTAAACTAAACCCTAAACCCTAAACCCTAAACCCTAAACCCTAAACCCTAAGCAACCGCGGGCTCGCAAGCGTAGGGCTGAAAAGCCGCTTAGGCCCTCAAAGGCCCGTAGGGTTTAAGGTTTCAAGCCCCCGAAACCCGATAGCTCTTGCTTCTAAACCCTGATTAACATCCCGAAAACCCTTTTTTTGAACCCGTGCTGAGGCCGAAAACATTCTTGCACATCTCCGCACGAAGACCCTAAGAAGGGCTGCCAGCTGCGGGGACACACTGTGGAGTTTGTGTGAAGATTGATGCAGCGCACGGACTTGCGCGACTTGGGATTTCTGCTGCACGGGGCTTGGGGCTTAGAGTCTCCTGGGGTTTGGGGCAGAGGACGTGTATGTTTAGGTTTTCAAGTTCAGTGGCTCAGTCCAGCTGCGAGGATAGGGCAGTTTTGCAAGCAAAGCACAGCCTACACTAAACAAAAACCACCAACCGGGTTCATTTTCAATGCTCACCAGGTCGCTTGCACATACGTAATCGTACGAGGGTGTCCATCTCTCAGGGAACAGGGGGTCTTGCCTAAAAGTTGCCATAGGTTCAGGTCCAGGGGTTTGGGCAGATTGGTTCAGGACTCTGCCAAGAGCTCCTAGACACCTTGAACCATAGCCTACGGACTACGATCCTCTTACTCCACAAGGGAGCCGTCACCGCTGGCATCCTCCTTTCAAAACTTGGCCGCCCCGTGGAACAAGCCCAATGGCAGAAGGTTCGTCTCCTTTTCCGTGCGTCTGGCACTTCTTGCGTGCTTGGGGCTCAACACCGATACGTCAAGAAAACTCGGAAGACACGTTTCCATACTGGTGCCGTTTCGCAGTCCTGAGAACCATCTGCCTCCAGGCTCTGCATTTCCAAGGGCATGCAAAAACGGCGCTTGACGCCCAACTCTAGTTCTAATTCGTGTCGCTTGCGCATGCATTGCCAGGTGGCCTGTCTCAGGGTGTGCCCAGTGCTCAGGGTCCACCAAGTTCGGCAGTTATGAATCCCTGACAGCTCCAGGCAGTAGCACCCTCAGAGACCTCGTCTACAGTACAGCTGGTGTAAAAGAACGGCAGAACCTGCGGCCATGAGCCGCACCTCCTGGGCTGAGGGGACTGCCTTTGCGAACGCGCGGAAGCGCGCGAGCCCGCGGGCAGTGAGCCCACAGCAGAGACGGATGCTGCTTTGAGGGCGCGGGCTTCGTAAGAAAAGCTCTGGGACTTCTGCTGCTTAGCCAACACGGATGGGCTATTCCTGCATGAGTTTTGTTCACTTCTCCTCTTCATTTCCATTCCTTCTTTCTTCGACTTACTACCATTATCATCCTCACTGCCGTCGTTACTAGCTACCAGTTCCTGCTATTAAGAGGATCATGAGACTACCCCTCTATAGGATTCGTTGCCCACTTGCCTCCAGCTGCCGCTCATGGACACAGTGGTGGGAGAGAAGGTTTGCTGAGCGTGGGACTTCGAACGGGGTCTTTCTCCAAGGTTTCACTGGAGGTATGTGGTCATTTCTCTAAATTGTGGCTTCCGTTTGGGGTCCTCATTATAACACGGCCCCTAATATTTAGGGCACCCGAAAAGGGAGCACAACTTTGAGAACTGACCAAATCTTAAGATTTACCATTGTCAAGGAAACGGGCCACGGTCGAAAGAAAATCGAGACTTCTGAACAACAAGGAAGCCTAAAATCCAAAACATTGTCTGAGCCCTACCTGGACTCAGAATACGCCCCTTTTCGGTGGAGCCTTGCCCGGAAAACTAAGGTTGGTGTTAGGTGTCCAAGAGTAGGGGTTTAGGGTTTAGGGTTTGGGGTTTGGGGTTTGGGGTTTGGGGTTTAGGGCTTGGGGCACGCGCTTCCTTGCTGACCCAAAAAGACCGTTTAGGCCCTCGAGGCCATCGTCTCCGAAGCGTGGAAGGGGAAACCTTTCCATAAGAGCCCATCGCCTACTCTTTGGGTTTAGGGCTCAGGGTTTAGGGTCCTATCACACCCAGGCTCGGCTTGTTAGGGCGTTCTTAAGTTTGGTCAGGAAGGTGCCTTGTTGGCTCCTCATCCCACAAGGGTACCCAGGTACACTTTACCACTGGGTTTAAGGCTTGGGGGTTGAATTCGGGTTTTAAGAGGTCTAGGGCAAAGGGCCTTAGTCCCTGTGGGTCCTCGCTCCCTCCCGCATGCACATTGAGGTGGCGTGGGCTGGGTCGCTTCAGCGGGGTTTGGTGCGACATAGGGTTCAGGGTTTAGGGTTTAGGGTTTAGGGTTTAAGGCATCGGTGACGAAGTTGTGCTCTCTTGGGCTGATGATTTGGGGGAAAGCACCGGAGGATATACGACCCAGCCCGCCCAAGTCAAACGGCTACCATCCAACGATGCCGTGCCGCACCTGCGGAGGGGGCTTTGGGGGGCTTTTGGGGGCTTTTGGGGTTGGGGGCGGGGGGGGGGGGTTGGGGGGGTTTGGGGGAGTTTGGGGGGGGTTTGGGGGGGTTTGGGTGGTTTGGGGGGGGTTTGGGGGCGGGGTGGGTTTGGGGGGGGGTGGGTTTGGGGGGCGTTTGGCGACACTCTCTCCGACTTGCCCAACCCAGCCTTGGCTGGGTACTGGGGGTTGCGGTTGCTGAGGCACTTGGCATGGCATATCGGCCTGCCAAGTCGGGAAGTGTCGGGTTTAGGGTTGAGGGTTTGGGGTTTAGGGGTTGAGGGTGCTGGTAAAGCGCCCTTGAAGCCAAGATCTTTGGATCCCTGCACCCACTTCATCATGATTCGGGTTTGGTCGGATCTGGGTAGTTCGAAACCCTAAACCCTACACCCTAAACCCGAAGGCCCTTCTTCGGTCTTTGTGCGTTTGCTGCGAGGGTGCGAACTGGAGAGCCTGGCGCGACGGGCTCAGAAACCCGAAGAGGCATTGACCAGGAAAGTACCCCAAACCCTAAACCCTAAATTTAAACCCTAAACCCTAAACCCTAAGAACCCTAAACCCTCAACCCTATCGTCATGGACTCTTCTCCTCGGTGTGCTTGGAAGACGGCACTGAGCCCTCACATCCACCACGACCCCCCAAGGCCCTCAACACGAAAAAGAACAGCAACTCTGAAGCCCTTGTGAACCCTATTGAAGCTATTTTTTAGCAACGAGCCCTAAACCTAAACCCTAAACCCCCTAAACCCCCTAAACCCCCTAAACCCCCTAAACCCCCCTAAACCCCCTAAACCCCCTAAACCCCCTAAACCCCCTAAACCCCCTAAACCCCTTAAACCCCCTAAACCCCCTAAACCCCCTAAACCCCCTAAACCCCCCCCCCTAAACCCAAACCCCCTAAACCCCCTAAACCCCCTAAACCCCCTAAACCCCTCACCCTTCTGCCCAGGGGCAGCGTGGGGCTCCGCGCGTGGCCTAAATGGGCCCTGGGACGGATCTGGGCCTTGCGATTTGGGTTTGGAGATGAAGGGTTTAAAGGGTTAAGGTTGGGATGTCACCCCTTATACTAACAGGGGGTGCCATAATCCCTACTAAGGACTGTTTGTCTAAGGGAGAACGTCCCAAGGTTAAGGACATCAGGATTGAACTGAGGGTTTAAGGGTTGAGGGTTGAGCGTGTAGAGTTTAGGGATTAGGGTGGTGTGGGCAGTTGGCACTCCTTCTTTCGCAACTAAGGGAAACAGTCGGGATAGAGTCTTTTCAGGAATTGAGCGCGAGTCGTAAGGGTCCAGCCCTGCGTCGGACTGAAGAATCGGCGTTCAGAAACATGGTGGTCACGAAGTCAACCCAGGGCCTTTACCCCAAAAACATCTAGACGAACCAGACTCCTAAACATGTTCCTCTGAAGCCCAAATAAGGGAAAATGACAAACATCCCAGGAACCCTACCTTCACCTAGAATCCCCAAACCCTAAGCCCTGAACCCTTTTTGAACCCAGACTCTGCATGTCAGCTGGCTCTGAAACCCAAAACCCAAAACCCAAAACCCCAACAATTCTAAAAAAACTCCCGTGGACATCCTCAGCGTCGCACCCATGTGGCCAGCGATGCACCGCGGACTCAACGCCGAGCCGCCGTCGTCCTCATCCTGAAGAGGTTTAGGGTTTAGGGTTCAGGGTTTAGGGTTTGGGGTTTAGGTTGCGGGTTCATGGCTTTGCAAGGCTCATGGGTAGTAGTTACACGTGCGGTCATAAGTAGGGTGACGATACCTATAACCTGCTATATTCTTATTTAAGGTGCTTACAACCTTATTTAAGGTACTTGTAACCCCTACCTATGGCTACCCATGAACCTGACAAGTAGGGTTTAATTAGGGTTTAGGGTAGCTTAGGGTTTAAAGCGAGGCTAAGTCTGTTGAACGCGTACACACACACACACACACACTTGAGACTCGACTTCTGTCGAACTGTGAGCTCCAAAGCTTGTGAGTCTGCAACGGAGGTCTGCATTCATGTTAAAATGGCCAAGGATTCAGCAACGGCTTTGAGGGTGTTTTTGGGGATGGCCTGCAGGTACACAGTTCAGCGTCCTGAACTGCTTCCCACTCCAAGGCATAGCTTCGTTGCACTGGGTTTGCCAAGGAGTGCCCAGTGCCCCTGCAAAGAAAGAACCATGAACTCAAATCGCACTTGTGCATTCCTGCACTGTTCGAATTTTGCTTTGCCGGCCGCACGATTTGCCGAAGGTTCCCGTACTTCAGCCATCTGCTCGGAAACTAGGTTCCGATGCCCAAGCCGAATGCCTGAGCAACATGCCTGCCCAATGGTTGCCTATGGTGCAACATGGCCGACAAGGCCCACTGTGAAATTGCGTTGCCCTTAGACACAGGGTTTGACACGCACACACGCCCTTCTGTAGAAGGGCGCATTGTTGTAACTTCTTCAAAACCTGAGCAAACGGCCATTAAGCCACATAAACACGCACGACTTTCTGTGCTGTGAAGCCGGACAATTGTCTAGCATGTTAGAGCACTCAAAGAAGGCACGCGTGCTACATACATGATCGCTTGAAACACGATATATGTCATCGAACGTTGATACCCAGCCATGTTGCCTCACATTGCACGTCAACTCGGAACTACCTACGGACCTACGTGTTAGCCTTTGCTTTGCAATGCATCTGGACCTCAGGTCAACTTGCAATGACACCTGGTCAAGTTGAACAAATTATATAAAGCGTACTCACCCCTATGCGTTCGCCTGCCACCAGAGCACAGGGCCTCAACGGATATCATGCGTCTTCACGCCCAACGCACGCGCATGTCGACAACATCATGGATACACGCACGCACGCCAAATGTACTTTTTTGCAAGCGACCCACATGAAATCCAGAAACACATGTCACATGGGTTCCTAGCTTTGTGCACCCGCGTCACATGTATCATGCATCCATACGGACATACAAGCACGCAAACTGTCATGGGTATGTGTGATTGTATATGGACCCTGAGTTTCAAAGGGCAGCTCACTACTTTTTTAGGGCGGGGCAGAAAACGACCAACTACTACGTCTGAGGCCGGCGCAGAACCAGACTACCACTTGGTATGAGGGTGTTACAAAAGTGAGAGACATGGGCCAACACGACAGCTGCCTTCGGGAGAAGAAGCTCACCCAAGATTCCCGCCCCAAGCCCTTGAGTAGCATCATGAGCAAACAAAATGGCGGTACTGCGCAACGCATGGTACATGGTGGATCTAGTTTTCTTTCACTCGAAACCAATCCTGCACGCACAAGAGAGCAAGAGCACGCAAGGACGAACTCACAGCTTTTTTAGGGCTCAAAGTGGCAACACGTCGGCAGGATCATACCCTGCATTGATGTGAAATCGTTTGATAAGGTCAGTTTGTGTCTCCCTATCCCATGGAGGCCACGCATAGGTGCGAATAGAGTGAAGTCGAGATTTAAGACCAGACAACCGCAACTTGATGGATCCAGCTGAGTGTGGATGTCGTACTTGCCATCGAAAAGAAAGGGGAATGTAAGAAATCGAACGGGACACATGATCAACATTGAATCCCAGAAAATGCTGATCACCCACATCCTCGAGCTGAATTGGTGCTCCATAAAACCAAGGGTCAAGCAAAGCAAGTACCGAATGCAATTGAATCATCTGCGAGGGTAACAGAATGAGTCGATTGTCCACATACCGAACAATAAACGTCAATTTGTTCAACGCTTGTGACGCAAACAATCTCTGCCAACCAAATTTCAGTGCAAAGAACTGGAAGTGAGCTGAGAATAGGCGAGATTTGATTACCAATGCAAGTTCCATCATGTTGCTGCCAACACGCTCCACACGCTGTGAATACCCCACACGCAAAGGTGGCTTGAACGATATGGGGAATATCAGCAAGCTCAACCTGCTTCCACCATTTGGGGTCTCCTGTCATCTGGGTCCTGCCTGCTACGCTCTTAATATCACGTCGTCCTCTGGAAATGCAAACAGTGATATGTGAACATTCTGAAAGTTGAGAGAATCGAGAAAGCAGTACTTGCACACTCTGCAATATCCGAGCTTGAGGGACACTGTTGAAGAATCCAACCAAGTCATCATTAGTGAGAGTGAGAGTGACATCATCCGGGGTCTCTTCAAAATATTGTTGAAGCTTGCTCCAAATGACTGGGAGGGGAACAGAACCAAAATGATCAGGAAAACATAACTGAATCATCTGCTCAATGGCTGAGGCTGCAGCTCTCTGCAACCGTTCTGAAATTGTGCCATTGTAAGCAATGACACTGCGGCCTTTCTTGTAGTCTTTCTTCTGTTTAAGAAAGACGAACCCCCTGGGCAAGGGAGCATTGGAAGCAATGCCCCAGGCATACTTCTTTCGAATGAATCCTGGAATGTTTTCACGAACCTGCAGCCGACATCTCTCAGGGCTGGACAGAATCTGTCTGAAATTAGATGCATCTTTCCATACTGCCAGCACTCCTTTGAAGTAAAACTGAGGGCAATACAACATCAAATGTGTTGCTTGATGGTCAGCCAGGTGGAATACCAACTTGGAATGCAACTGCTTCTTAACATCGACAAGTTTGTGCTCTTGCAAAAGAAAGTCACACCGGCAGAGATGCTGAACATGGCTAGCCCATTGATTGGGAAATACTGTGTTCCAAAATTCATCTTTGACGCAAGGTGGAAAACCTTGACGGTCAAACCAACGATCAATTCGCCTCTTGTGCAGTCGAAGGAAGCTTTCAAGGGTCGGGAAAACTGGGGAGCTAGAACTGAAAGATAACATGTCAAGCACCTCTCTAGGTAGAGATAGGTCAGCTGCAGAAGAAGCAATGTGTCCATCAACTGTGTGCAAATAAGGATGATGAAGAAGAACTTCTTGACAACTACAAGGTAACGATGAAGGCTCAAGGTCTTGCATCCTGGTCTCCCATTGCGCGAAGTTGCAAAAGATTGTTTGAACAGATTGGTGCGCACCTTCATCAATCCAATGGCTAGGCAAGTGAAAGGGTAACATCCATTGTTTGTATCGCTTGATTTGCTGACGTAGCCACGCAGAAACCTCCCACTGAAAACTGGGGTGGGCAAGGTATGGACATCGAAGACGTGGGTGTACATCTGGAATGGAACATCCGCGAAACCTAAAAGCTGAGCACATCAACTTTTTGACTCTGGACTTCTCAGGCTGTTCTAGGTTACAGCCAATCCTCCACAATGCATACAACTCCAGCTCTGTGATCCTCTGAGAACGAATAAGCTTAGCTGCTTCGAAGCTACGTCGGGCGTCGGTCCATCTGCGCTAAGTCATACAGGATGTCAAACGCTTTGGGCTTGGAGAGAGTGGGAGGAACCTTGTAGCCAACTGTTGCAAACCTGCGCCTGAGTTTACAGAACAATCTGAAATAGTTGTGAGAAGTACTGGACTTGTTTCGGAGAGGAACCGTTTTGGGACCACTGGCCGTCTTCTTGAAAAACTTGTGCACGAAAGGGTGATTGAGTCTGGGTTGCCAAAGGTCAATCAGGACATGCTCAGCGATCCAAGCCTGCTTGTAATTGTCATGAGTGGACAAGACAACGGTGGAATACGCGCTGTAATCAAACCTGCTTGCCCACAATCGAATTGCTGGCTCTACTTGAACGTATTGTCCTTGTTTGCACTGCTTAATCTTGGCTCGACGATTGTTCTCTCTCGCCACCATGCCAACAGAAGTGCTTCCAACATAAAGCCAACTAGTTGACTGAGCCGCAGTAAAAGAACTTGCCCAGCGCACAGGAAGCTTCAGGTAGACGACGCTACTTTGTTTGAACCGGTCAAACGAATACGTTTGTGGTGAAACTGATAAACGACTGAGTTTTTTTCTCAATGCTGCATCGTTGGTAGTGTCTCTGGGAAAGTGAAAGATAAGCAAAAGATGAAGAATGCCTTGAATCCACAACATACGAGTCTTATCCACACCAGGAATCTCTTGGAGAACAAATGTTGCTAGCTGTCCAAGGCAGTGAATGAGTTTCCTAAGCCAGCGAACTTCAGTAGCAGGTAGCTTCAACTGAAGTCTGTCCACACATCAGGCCGACCAAATCATAGCTAAGGCTATGACGCTCGAAAGGGACTTGAATCCCAACTTGGTGACCGTAGACGGATTCATTCCGAACTTGAGTGCCAAGTCTTGCATCCTTTCCTTTGTGATTTCCTTGTCGCCAACCAAGGAATCAACCTTAGTGATGAGCCCTTCCAACTGACTGAACTTGGATGCTCCAAGCGATTTCTTGAAGGTCTTGATCCAGGTCTGAACTGCCTCGGTCGAAGGGCCTTCCAAACTCTTGATCTTGCTTTTGAAGATGTCCGACGGAATCTTGTCGAGTTTCGACAGAACTGAATGGCTTGGTCCACAATCGTCTTCTGCTGCGTTCTTGACTGGCAAACCACTCTCTGTGTTCTTGGGTCGCGACTGGTCATCTGAGGCCGACGCTGTGCTTTGACCTTCGTTTTTCTTGGGAGTAAGCACCACACCCTGCTCCATGAGCTGCTGCTCTCGTTTCATGAGAGCAGTTTGTAACTCCACCAACTGCTGCGATGAAGACGAAGCGACTTGAGCTGGGGCATGCTTCTTGAGCACTCCGATGAGATCGTTGATAAGAGGAGCATACAAGGAAGAAACATCCGTGGTCTTCGAAGGAAGTTCTTTTCCGGGATGATGATTTTGCCACAAGGTAGAGGCCACTGCATCCAAGTCCAGCTGCGACTTCCTAACTGCTGAGAGTAACTGGGAAGTGAACACACTCTCGGCAACAGATCGAGTTGGAACAGTGGAAATGAACCTGCCATGAGACAGCAACCGTAACGTCCATTCGGAAATGCCATGGTACATGAGCTCATGGGCCTTGATGTCTGTGACGTCTCTTCCTGCGAACCCTCTCTTTCTGGACCAATGGGAGGCTTCAACCTGCTGGTTGAAGGTAAACCCATGAAGCTCGTTCGAATCAATGCGCTTCTCATTCTGAACGAACGAAGACGGAAATTGGATGGCACTCATAGTGGGCATCGAAGACTGCATCTGGGAAGGTCCTGGATGTGGGTTGGGGAAGGTGTAAGGATTGCTTCGGTACGACTTTCCACCCTTCTGGTGGGATGGGCCATAACTGCCAGCATTCCAAGAACGATCATTGTAAGAGTCATAAGACCTGTCGTAGCTGTTCTGGTAGGACGAAGGTTGGTCCCAACTCCACGACTGATTCCAGGACATGTTGAGCTAAGTCGGAGCTAAGGCGAAAAGACAAACGCTGGAAAGACTTGACCCATGACAACATGAAACAGCATCTCAAGGCGAAGACAAAATCAAACTCAATCACAAGAGCTCGCGCAGTTCAGGGACTTGTTCTTTGGGAGCCATCATATTCGAGAACTAGACAGCGCGGCAAACTTAGACAGACTGTTTTTTCGGAAGACACTCGGTGAGCTCCCCTACTGAGGCCAATGCCAAATCGCTAAGCCAATTGGCTTGGAAACTGAACTCTTGAAAGCCCAGCGACCATCTTTGGATCTCAGTGCATCATAGAACACTCCTGCAACCAGATCAGTGTGCGTTCCTCCCGACTTTGGCCTCACATGACCAATCTGTCTAAGACTGGCCACACCAAGTACACACACAGGCCGCGACGGAGAAACGTACTGAGATGCCTGACTCCACGCAATTGTGATCTCGGAGTTATGGCCACGGCAGTAAAATGTAAAGCCTGGCATCCAAGTAATGTCTTGCGTCTGGAACTTGCTTGGTCTGAAGATTCCTGACCGGATGATGTGCGCTGCAGAGTCGATGGAGGTGTTATGAGCAATGTGATAAATGGTGTTCCTCTTTCCGAAACTGGCAGGCTTGCTGACTGCATGATCAAGATTCAACTTGGCAACCAAAGCAACAGCTCCTGATCGGAGCTTCGTCAACGACATGCCTTCCAACACATGGATCTGGTCAGCCATCAACATTATCTCTGCCAAGGTCTGCCAATGTTTGGCCGGAACCGAAAGGTTTTCTGGATTGTGCAGCAAAGACTTCATGTACTGCAATGCAAAATCGAGAACCTGTTTGTCAGAAGTTCCTAGCTCATATGTTCGAAGACTCAGTTCAGAAACGGATCTGCAACGCCCATAGGCCAAGACCAAGAGCTTCTTGAGTCGAAGGAAAATCGGAACCAACCTGGACCAGTCAAAATGATCATCGTCCGAAATCGTAAGGGGGCCTTTGCTGTCATAGAGACGAAGATCAGAAAACTCGCTCAAGACATAAAAGGTTGGGTTCTGCTTCCACGGAACTTCATGACTATGCATCATTACGGACTTGTTCAGCGAATCATCCAGCTCTGTCTGAAGCTGTTGTGGCAGATGCACGAAAACGCCATTGACTTGCCACCAACCCTCTGCTGGTAAGCTGGGGTCCATTTGAAACGGCCATTGTGTCTGAGGCTGGAGCTGTCGAGGTATCATTGTTGCCGACTGAACGACATCCAATTGACCAGCAGTGCGCTGATCCCCGATGGCTCGGGAAGTAGGTTCTATGGCCCAAGCAGGTAAGGGCCGAGCCGAGCTCAGTCCAGAGCTAACATTGGTATTCTGAGAATAACCTTGTGCGATCAACGACATCATATGCGCTTGACCAAGAATCTGGTAACCATGGTCTTGGAAAGACTGCATATCAGCGAACTCCACTCTCGTAGACATCGAACCCACTGAAAAGCTGATTGACGCAGCAGGTTGAGGGTTTCTACTTGTGGTTGAGATCTTTGCTCAGACATACGAGAGGAAGTAGTTTGCAAAGGCAAGGGTGTCGCAAGCCAACTTGGCTG